AATAAGTTTGTTGCGCATCTATGCATATCTAAATTGAAGCTAATTGGGCATGCCCATGTGCAAAGATGTAAAACAGGTGGTAGGGGAGAAAAGACTCGTAAATGGAGATTTTGGTATGGAATACTAGAGGATTTAAGGCCTTTAAGAAGAATAAAGTTGTTCAAAAGTATTAAATAAAAAAAATATAAGTAGTTTCAATACTAGAGCCTATGATACAAGCTACAGAATATGATGAACTAATTTATTAACATTTTCTTGATTGGGATTCAAAAATTTCAAGTAAATCTAATGGTTTGGGGGAATATTTGGTTGGTTTGGAGGAAGGATTTATGCCTTAGAGTATTGCATCGATCTGATCAATTTATTCGGGTAATGATAGAGACAAAAATACTTAAATTTGTCACATTTTTGTATGCATCCAACTCTTATGCAAAGAGAAGGAAAATTTATGAAGAGATAAGGACGGTCATAGTAAGTGTTGCTCCCTAGATTATGGTGGTAGATTTCAATGAAATTGATTTCCCTGCTCAATCTGCAAATTATCCAGCAGTGACTTGAGTATGTTGGACTTTACATAATTGTTGGTTGACTAAGAAGTAGAGGAGCAGAAAGCAGAGGGTCCATGGTTTACCTAGTTGAATAAGTAAGCTGCTATATTGAGGATTTATCGTCATAAGGCTATATTGAGGATTTGTCAATCTTGAATGGTTGGATCAATGTCATTATAGTTGTGTGCAACTATTATGTCTAGGTGATTCTGTCTTGATTGATACATATAGGACTAGCATGTCACTTCCTAAACCCTTAAGTTTTAAAGTCTTAAATTCACCATCCATAGTTCTTTTTTTATTTGGTAAAGGAGTATGGGATTCGGAGGTTACTAGTTCATTGATTAGAGTGTGCAAGAAACTCAAGATACTTAAGAGATTCTTAAGATAGTTGAATAAATAATGTTACTCTAACATTGGGGCTTGAGTTAATGCTAAGGTTGAAGAGTTGGCTTGAGAAGGAAAGCAAGTAGGTGAAAGAATTAATTGAGCTGGAAAATGCACACGAGTCATTTTTTTAAGCAGAAGTTCAGGGGAAATTTGGTTGATGAATGATGATTGAAATTCAGCTTATTTTAACCATTCATGCAAGGTAAAACAAAAAAGGAACACCATTCATTCTCTTTTAGATAGCAATGGAGGGGTAACCAACATTGTTAAATAATGCGAGGTGTCTGTTACCTTTTTATCAAAAGTTGTTGGGTAGGTTGATTTTTTTTTTTTTTTTTTTTTTGAAAAGGAAGTCACCATTCTTTCATTCCAATCCCAAAATAGGGGAATCATAGAGATACAATAGTGGGGATAATATATTGGAAATTACAATCCATTCTACAAGCAACAAATTCATTCGAGCATTACGTGCCACCCAGTCAGCCAAAGTGTTAAGCCGTTGTGGAAATAAACTCCACTTTGATCCATGGAGCTAATTGGAGGGTTGAAATGATAAGAAAAATTGTTGCTCGATACTGCCAGACCCAGGTCGATGATACACTTTTCTCTGAGAATGTTGCATGCTATGAAAATTTGCTGACTAATATGCTTGCTCCTGAATAAGTGTAGTCTCTATGCTGACCAGCTACAAATGAGAAAGTAAACAAAGTTATGTTTGGTTTTGAGGGTGAAAAAATCCCCGACTCTGATGGATATTCAACATGTTTTGTCCAGTCTGCTTGGGAGATTGTGGAAAATGAAGTGACTGATGCTATTCAGAGGTGTTCCAAGAAATCAGAATGCCTCTTGAGGTAAACTCTGTTATACTTTCTCTAATTCTTAAAGTTCCAAATTCAGAGGATAAGAGAAACTTCCGACCTATTGCTTGTTATAAGACGCTATATAAGCGTGAGGCAATATTATCTTTACGACTTAGTTTGTCTTCCTTATGTGATAAGTAAGAACCAAACTACTTTCATAAAGAGTAAAGTTATATGAGATAACATCATGTTAGCTCATGAATTGGTACAGAAGTATGGGATGGAAGAATGTGTCTTCTAGATGTGTGCTTAAGATTTATCTAATAAAGGCCTTTGACTTTGTAGGCTAGGGATTTCTTTTCAAAATCTTGTATGCAATGTTATTTCCCCCTATATTGGTTTAAAGGTTGGAAATGTGTGTGACATGTCCTCCCAAGTTCAGTATAAGGGCTAATAGTGTGGTTCATTGTGGTATTTCTCTAAAAAGAAAGGGCTAAAACAAGGTGACCATTTGTCACCTTATCTTTCCGTAGTAGCCATGAAAGTATTTTTGTCTTATGAAGCTATTCTTACAGAATGATAATCTGCCTTTTTATCCAATATGCAAGAGGTTAGGACTTACTTTCCTATGTTTTTCAATTGACTTGCTTATTGTTTATGATGGTTCAAATATTGGAGTGAAGAGTATACATGGGATCCTGGAATGATTTAGATTGTTATCAGGCTTAGTATCTAATCCATCGATATGTGAAATATTTTGTGGGGGCCTTCCGGAATAGTGACAGTAGAATTCGGATTTAAGAGCTGGTTATAGGCTAGGCAAGCTTCATTTGAGATATTTGGGGGTGCCTTTGATTGCCCATAAACTTACAATAAGTGCTTGTATACCCATGATTTATAAGTTGACTACAAAGGCTCAAGGGTGGAGGGCTCCAGTGCTGAGTTATGCAGGCTATTTAGAACAAATTATGTCTATTCTATATAGCCTTACACAATTTTGGATGGCTGTGTTTATTCTGTCAAATGAAGTGATAAAGAAAATTGAGAAGTTTGTAGTAACTTCCAATGGAGGCATGAGGTTGGGGAAGGGAAAAGAAAGAAGGATGTTGTTGCTTGGAAATTTCTCACTTAGCCAAAGGTTAGGGGCGGTTAGGACTGTGAGATCTTTGCTATTTGAATATTGCATGCATTGTAAGACATAAATGGTATATATTACTTGAGTAGCGTTCACTAAGGGTGGCTTGGATAAAAAAATATCGATTGAAGAATATGAGTTGTTGGACTTCTGAGGATAAATCTGGATCTTTGTTGTGGCCCGAGGTTGAATGCCAACTACGGTGCCGACAACACTTGAAGCTAGGCCTGCACCCTCGATTCTTCTTCCCTTCTTCGATGGGTTGGTTTGCCTTCTCATCCAGCTTGACATTGGCTAGTTGGCTTTTGCTTTGTTTATTCACTCAAAATATTGAAACTGACGGTTCGTATTTGCAATTTCACCACTGTTTCAGGAGGTGCTACTCAGTGAAACTCAATATCAATGCTTCATCTCTCTATTAAATGTGTCTGGAGGAAGTGAGGCCGAAGAATTCAATGGCTAGCTGGAGGAAACTCGTTTTGAAAGGTTAAGGTATTCTTAGAAACTAGTTATTAACTTAGATTGTGGTTCAAAATCACATTTTAACCGGTGACAGAATGATGCAATGGGGTTATATAGGCTATGTTGCATGTGACTTATGTGGGGAAGAGGTGAAGACAAGATCACATCTTTTTTCCTCTTACTGCTATTATAGACCACTGTTTCGCAAGGTTGTTGCACAACTATACCAACAAAAATTAAGGTAGCACTTGTGATGTGGAACTGAAAGGGGCAGTTTATCACTTCTCAAAGAAAACTTATGTGGCAATTACAGGTATAATTATCTAGTCTTCCCTTGTTAGTGGAATGTGGATGAAACGTTGCTGTAAAAACTTGTAAGGAAAGTACTATCTGCAAATATACTATTGAGTCAGATAAAAGAATAAGTGAGAGTTAGAGCTGATGAAGATGAGACTATCCATTTTTGGGGGTAATGACGGATGATAAATGCGAGTCATTTGCGGTATTCTTGGGCTCTAGTATGACAATAGTTAAAACTTTAATAGTTGTAGCTAGATGAATAAATTTTGATAGGTCTTGATTTGACATTGTATATGCACAACTAGAGAGTGTTGCTAGTATTTGCTTTTCTATGATATAATATAATAACAATTCATAAAAAAAGTCAGTGCTAGAATATTTTGTGCGGAAATCGTGGTCCAACTAGCTCATGCCTCTAAGACTGCCTACCGACTTGAGTTTTAGTAGATGGTTTTTCCAATCGGAACGTTAATACGATACAAACAATATGATTTTGAAAATGCGGGATAATCTTAATGTGATATATAGTGACCAACAATGATACTAAATCGACCACCATTGAACTGGGTGTAAGCAAGGTTGTGAAACGAGTTCAAGTCATTGAGCCGGTCAAATAAGTGATTTAAAATTTGAGGTTTAATGGTACGATCTGTGTCCAACCTGTTTGGGTCATTTTATACATTTTTTATATATACGGAATAAGATAATAATTTAAAATTTTCATAATTAAAATAAAATTTATCTTACATATATTATTTAGTAATTTACATTTAAGTATATTTGTTACCCATTAAAACTCTAGCTCATTGCAATCAGTAATATCATAACAATATGACACATTTTCCTGTCGAGCAAAAAAAAAGTGATCTGATCTCCAATTCGACCGACTAACTCTCAAAAAAACTTGTTGGAACTCGTTTACATAACCGATTTCAATCGGACCTAATCCAACCGACCAGTCAGATAGTATTTCGACAGCCAAAACATAAACCGATCAAATACCAAATTACAAATTTACAATTACAATTAGGGTGGACATCGGTCCGGCCTGGTCGGATGGACCAAACTAAGGAGGATCGCGGTCCAATAGTGAAAGAAATATTAGGACCAAAGACCTGACCAATAATGCATTCGGTCCGGTCTAAATGTCAATTAAGTCCATTTTTTTTTAGGGTAAATGCCACATTTGGTCACCGAGATTACTAAATCGTGTCATGTTTAGTCAATAAAAAATTTTAATATAAATTTTTGTCACTCGAATTACTAGACATGTTTCCGTCTAACTTCATAAAATCAGGTTGAATTATAATTTGTAATTATAATGATACTTTGTCTTATATATTTTTTATTTTATTGCGATAATGAGGTGACACTTTTAAAATATTGAATTTTAATATTTTTTTAACTTTTTAATTGCCACGTCACTTATTTAACGGTCAACTCTCAGAGTTGACTGCCACGTCAGTCAAAGTTAACGGAGACTAACCGAGAGTGACCAAACTTGAACTGATGAACTAATTTAAGTGATTACGGATGAAATAAAGTAATTCTAGTGACAAATGTGAAATTTTTAAACAATTCCAGTGTGACCAAACTTGCAATTAAGCCATATAGTATGGTTCAAACATCAATTTGATATGGTGTGGTCCGATATGAACCAACCCGATTGGTCACCCCTGATTACAATGGGATGACCTTAATGTTTGGCATGTTCATTTTACTCCTTCCCTCCCTCATCTCTTTCCCCACTCAAAGTCATCTTCAATCTTCATCCCTAATTTCGCAATCCACATTTCTCGGAAGCCAAACAGAAAATCCTCGGCATAAACCTTTTGCACGTGAACTCCCATACTCCATAGCTAACGAAGCTATACAGACGTCGATAACAAAGTAGAAACGAGAGGCGAGCAGCCAAATCGAATAATCGAATATTCTCTTACCTTTCCCCCGTTCCGATCCGATCTAGTTTCCATCTCTCTCTCCCCCTCCCTCCGATGAGCTCCGGTTCTTCCTCAACCGGCGGCGCTTCGCCGGCCGACTCAGTCGACAAGCAGAAGGAGAAGGCGAGAGTGAGCCGGACGTCCATGATACTGTGGCACGCTCACCAGAACGACGTCGCCGCCGTCCGGAAGCTCCTGGAGGAAGATTCGTCCCTCGTCAAGGCTAGGGATTACGACAACCGGACTCCGCTTCACGTTGCCTCTCTCCATGGATGGATCGATGTCGCCAAGTGCTTGATTGAATTCGGCGCCGATGTCAACGCTCAGGATCGCTGGAAGAACACTGTAATTCTCTTCTACTTCTTGATCTTCTTCTACTCCCACCGTTGATTCGGTTTCTGCGTGCGATTTCCAATCGATTTTTCTTGTGGTGGTGGTAGCCATTAGCTGACGCCGAAGGAGCTAAAAAGCATAACATGATTGAGCTTTTGAAGTCGTATGGTGGTTTGTCCTATGTGAGTCCACTCTCTCTAACTTCCAATTCGTTTATTGTGGTTTTGTTCTGAACTCTCAATCGAGTGCTACTATGCTAATTTACAGAGAGATTTACTGCTCTATCGTGTTCTTATTCAAGTAATTGACGCCTGTAATTCGAATGCCATTTGCACTTTCTTTTCTATTGTGTGTTGGCAAATGTAATGTTCGTTTGCTTCTATGGAGTTGGTAAAGTGCAAATGCATGCACTAGCTTTCGACTCTCAAGTTTGGATTTACTCTTTACTACAGGGACAAAATGGTAGCCACTTTGAACCTAGGCCTGTTCCACCACCACTACCGAACAAGTGTGATTGGGAAATTGACCCGTCTGAGCTGGACTTCTCGAACTCTTCTATGATTGGGAAGGTTTGTTTTTGTGCTGGTATTTAGTGTTCTAGTCATAGCACCATGGTTTTTTTTTTTTTTGTTAGTTGTCTAGGTATAGTCTGTGCCTACATTTGCTAATATTCCTTGCAATGGCAGGGATCATTTGGTGAGATTTTGAAAGCATGTTGGCGTGGAACACCTGTAGCTGTGAAACGTATTCTTCCATCCCTTTCAGATGATAGACTAGTGATGTAAGTTTGTAATTGATGGCTATGTTTGACTGATCTATGTTATAGGCAGTTTGGCTGGTATACATTGTGATATGAACTGTGACAGTTTTGATCTCTGAACTTGAAGTTAAGTTTTCTAAGAGCATTTATTATCAATACTGTGACCTCTTTTATGATTGCTTCTTTTAATTATATGTAAGCTGAATGATACAAATAATTCTCCAGACCAGGGTTTAAGATTGAACCAACACTCTTTAAACTTAAAGAACATAATGCCCCTACTTCCATATTACCTAGCAGGGTCAAGTAAATGATACTTTAATGTACTGAAAATGCTATTTCAGGCATTTGGTTGCCTATCTCCAATCTCTCCGACCTCCTAAAAATTCCTATCTTCACTTGTCCTATACAGTCAAGACTTCAGGCATGAAGTTAATTTGCTAGTGAAGCTTCGTCACCCAAACATAGTCCAATTTCTTGGGGCTGTCACCGAGAAGAAGCCCCTCATGTTAATCACAGAGTACCTGAGAGGGGTATGTGTTTCTTCAATATTTTGCTGTCTCTCTGAAACAGCCATAATCAGTTATCTGAAAAGTTAACTTCCTTGATCGTTGTTGCCTGACCATATTAGTATTTATTCCCACGTTTATAGGGCGACCTTCATCAGTATCTCAAGGAAAAAGGTGCCCTTAGTCCTTCAACAGCGATTAACTTCGCAATGGACATAGCCAGGTATTTCACTGCCTCTCATCGTCTATGATTAATTGGTCAATATGTGTGATTTCTTTGTTTCGACTTTGAGAGATATAAACATGTTACCAAAACAATTCTGATAATTTTTCTAGATGAAATTTTGCTGGAGCGCACTCTCCCTTAGTTAAGCTATAATAGTACTCTCTGCATTTAATGTTTTGGCAAATGAAAAGCCAATGAACTTGTGCATCTTGAAAACCATAATATTCAATTTTCTAGGGTTCTTTCTACTCATGTGAGTTCTGCCTTAGCAGATTCAATTCTAATCTATGTTGTAAATCCTGCACAACAGAGGCATGGCATATATGCACAATGAGCCAAATGTCATCGTTCACAGAGACCTGAAACCAAGGTGCGCTATTTAGTCATGTCCTACATTCAGTAGGACGAGATTTTTCCTTTATTTCAGGCAACCTGTGATCTACTTACAAATTGACCGGAAAAAACTGCAGGAATGTTCTTTTAGTCAACTCCAGTGCAGACCACTTGAAAGTTGGAGATTTCGGATTGAGCAAGCTCATCAAGGTTCAGAACTCTCATGATGTGTACAAAATGACTGGCGAGACTGGAAGCTGTAAGTGCCTTTTATTGCTTATTGTTGTCATGCCCTATTATAACTATCTTTTTTATTAATTCCTTTTGATATATTTTTTAACAAATAAAAAAACAATAGATCGGTACATGGCTCCAGAGGTTTTCAAGCACCGGAAATATGATAAGAAGGTTGATGTATTCTCCTTCGCAATGATACTCTACGAGGTAAAATTCCAATTCCTGCAAAGATGGAAAAGGAAAGGGCGGGCTGTCAAACGCAGTTGGTTTAAATCATTGCATATCTTGATTTTTGGTGACAGATGCTGGAAGGGGAGCCACCACTTGCTAGTTATGAGCCCTATGAAGCAGCCAAGTACGTAGCTGAAGGACACAGGCCAATATTCCGTTCTAAAGGGTTCATCCCTGAGCTGCGAGAGTAAGTGGATTGTCCATTGTCCTTGATTCCTATGTTGAAGAGGTTTCCCTTTTTGACGATTGATTATGTCGTGCAGTTTGACAGACCAATGCTGGGCAGCTGACATGAATAGAAGACCTTCGTTCTTGGAAATCCTCAAGAGGCTGGAGAAGATTAAGGAAGTTTTACCGTCAGATCATCACTGGCACATATTCAATTCATGACCAAAGCGAGCAGCAGTCCAGCAAAAAGTTTTATGACCAACAGTGTTGTTTGCTTCTCGCTAGGATTTAGTTTCCTGGCGCACCATGATTGTTCGAACCCTGCAAATACTGGATGTCAATAGTGTGGTAAAAGCATTTGTTCCCATGGGCAAGCCAATTTTTGGATCTGGTTGCTGTTCATACATAAGAGAGGGAGATCTCTTCTATTTGGATGAATCTCTGCACTGCAAAATATATTTTTCTCCCGAAGTTATAGCTGTGCTTTGTAGCAGAACCTTGAATAGAGATTGTGTTCTCTAGCATGTGTACTTTTTGGCCCAGTTGCAGTCTATATCTTCTTTCATTCCCTGGACTTTTGTACCATAAACTGTCCAAGTGTACAAAAGGCTAGTTTAGAGTTTCTCTTCTCAATCCATCATGGAACAATTCAGTGGTGGAGTCCAGCCTCTTATCATAGCAATTTTGCACATACCCTTGAATATTTTACCACACAATCTAATGGATTGGGTTTAAATTCAAATAGATGGATATGGATAGAATTTGATGGGTTTGTATCCATATTCCATACCCATCTATTTGGGTTGGGTTGATTTGAGTTTGTACCCATGCTTAAATGCAAATTACAGTTGGATACCTAAACTTACGAGATACGCAAATTTAGTACCTAAATTTAATTTTTTACCACACAAGTCCTCAAAATATCAATAGAAAATTACATTAGTACCTAATTTTTTTGCTTACATTTTGGTACCTAAACTTCAAGTTTTTACAAATAGGTCTAATTTTTGTATGTGTAGTTAAAACACCCCCAAATAAAATGGATATACATATCCAACCCGTACTCATTTTGATTATGGAAGCAATATCCATACATTACCCAAACTCATCTGCAAACCCCCAAACCCATATGTCACTTCATCCATACCCAACCCATTATCAATGCGTCTACTTGAGTTTGGATATAATTGCCCATGGGTGGGTAATTGTCATCCGTAATGATGTTAGATTTGGTCTACATGTCTCACCCACATGGAAATTCGGCAATCCCCCAATAAAACGATCATCCTTACATACTTCACAAGTACCCAAGTAGGGCTGGACAATGGGCGGGTTTCGCTTTTAAACTAACTCACAAGTTTACCAACGAGTTGGTACATTTGTGACCCATAACTAGAGGTGGCAAATGGATTGGATTGGTGGAGTGATGGATCAAGTGGATTGGATCAAATTGATTGGTGGATTGCTAGATTGGATCAAGTGGATTGGTGGATTGATACATGAATCCAAACATCCAAGCCTTGGACCATTATGTAAACTTTGAAAAGTTTAGAATCCAAATGTTATATTGAAAAATTTTAGGTACCAAAATGTAATTTACAATCATATTTTTATTCCAAAAAAATTTAGGTACCAAAATATAAAATGTATAGATACTAAATCGTAATTTGCCATTTTGATCCATGAATCAATCCAAGAATTCACCAATCCATTTGGATCTGAATCAAATGGATTATATTTAAATTGGTTGGATTAGGCGGATATTTTAGTGGATGGATTGGATTGGATTCATGGATATGAATCCTAATTGCCACCTCTACCCATAATCCACCCACACACTTCTTCGAGTTGGATTGGGTTGAGTGGGTGATAGATGGTTGCGGTTGGATTGTGGGTTAACGTGCAAAACAATTCTATAAATGCCTAACTGGTAATTAGACAAGTTGACTAGCATTTATAATAGATTTCCACAAATTAGTAAGACTACATCAATTTAAACACCTCTCATTTGTCTCCTATGGAGATGTTTAGTACTTGTATCAATTCTTTCATTACTTCATCAATCAATTGTGTACAAAAAGTTTCTTTTTTTCCAACTTAGATACAATTGATAGTTTATAATTTGCATATGCACATTACATAAAATATTGGTCCACCAAATGAACAATACATAAAATAGTGACCAATAGTAATAGCCAAAAATATTCTATATTTATTTTCCATCTTTAGAAATTGATAGTCAGTGTATATTGTCGGTTAAGAAATATACTTGGTAGTATAAACAAGAAACAATTGTTTCCTAAGTTAATGGGGTGCAGATCATTCAGATGATCCGCAACCCACCCGTTATCCACCTGATAAGTAAGAGTGAGAAATTTATCGATTCATAATCCACTCATATCAATCACCCATCCACCACAATTTGAGTTATTTGTGGGTGAATCAACGCAAAACCGCATATTATCCACCCACGTGCCGACCGCTATTCATAACTCACAAGTAAGGTATATCGTCAATGCGGAATGCATCAGCTTGTTTATTCCAAATGTAATGACTAAGAATCAGGCAAAGGAAGGAAGAAAAGGAACACCGCTATGGCACCTAAAAATTTGCTACTTCTCTGATGATGAACTTCTGAAATTATTCCCGAGTACTACAACACTTGTGTATCATTTTACAGTTCAAGTAAAAGGAAAAGGGAAACTGAAGAAAGGAGAGGGGGGAAAAAAGGATGTCTACCTTGGCCATAAAGAAAGAAATCAAATAGAGTTAGAGAGAAGTTAAATGATCTTCTTCTTCTCGAAAAATGTCTTGAGGTGCCAAAACTGGAAGCCGGCAACTGATAAAGACATCAGCAGGGAGAAAATGCCGAGCCACCCCATAGTCGAATTGGTCGACCTATTCAGTTCTTGCATCTCTTGTTCCCTGCAACACCAACAACAACAACCCAATACACCAACTTATTTTCGGAAGGCCACCTTTAGCAACCTCATGTTAAAGGAGAGAAATGGGAAAGTGTCGCTACCTCTGACGCAGGTAGAGAATTTCGTCTTGTATGGCTATAGTAGTGTCATACAATTTCTTCACCTCCAGTTCCATTGCCTGATAAATGTAATCCAAAGATCAGAAATTGTAAAGCTAACCTCCATTTTGATAAGGCAGGACAAAGCCTTTGAGCTCAACTATAGAACTTAGTTCAATGAACACAGAATTATGATAATAGCAGAAGAAAGAAACAAAGCAAGTGTGAGCGTTTATATCGTCATTACAACCAAATGATAAGGATGACCTATGTAAATTTATCCTATCAATTATTAGCAACATGAAGAAAGAATGTCGTGGTCCCGTCAGTACATGGGAATCCGACGAATCCATCTTCAACTCCAAAATTATGCAACCTTTTATTATCGCACGTGATCAATGACACTCAAGTCTTGTCGACCAACATTGATGGAGATTTCATGTCACTCAAAGCCAATATCTATTCCATGTAGTTCCTTGTCTCCCAAAGAGAAAAAGGACAGTTTTTTGGATTCCACTTAGTAACCTAAGCTCAAAGTAGAAATCAACTCCATGTAGTAGATAAGAAACATTACAGAATTCTTCAGTGTTCTTTCTTATCCATAAACGAAAGGTTGAACTGAAATTCATCTCAGGCCCGGGTCCAAGTTGCTCATACAAGTGCGAGCCAAACAAACAACAGCTATAAAATCTGAAATTGAAGATCATGCAGTGCTTTGTCACATAAAGCAACAGTTAACTCAAGGACTAATGTTTCACATCACTTGTTCAGTAACTCAAATAACAAGGAGACTACAAGGACTGTGGGGAATCTCTTCTGAACATTCGACGAGCGTAAACGCCAGGACAACCAATATCCTTATGTCAATAAAATTCAACCACAGACCAACTCCAAAACATCAGCACTTCAGACGGCATTCAGCAAGGCTCAAGTGACGAGTGAGACTACTGAAGCTCAGCCAACAAAGGCTGCCGTCTAGGGAAACCAATCAAGGAATCTCTTCCACGCAGTCAGTTACAAATGATCCTCAGAGATCCAACTATCTAAACCTCTCAATACTATTCACCTATATCGATTGAAATCCTACCATTAAGTTTGACCAAATGAGAAAGCTCGAAATTTGAGATGCAAGTGAAGAAGTTAAAGAAACAGTACCTCCACGGATCCTTTCTTTGCAATGCTACTCCAATCCTTAGCAGCTACACCAGTCCTCCACTCGAAATCCACCGTCAAAGTGATAGCAGGATTGTGATCCGCCGCATAAAAGCACGCCATGTAATCCCCAGCCTCAGCAGCGGTGAACGCAAATTGTCCTGATTCCACATGATCCGCCGTGTGATAACTGTTCCCGTAGCTCGAAGTCACCTAAACAGTGATAAACACAAAACCCACAACTTTAACCCATCAACCTCGGAAAAAGAAACCCCCAAAACTGCTCTCTCTCTATATAACTTTACCCTGACGGTGAGTTTGTGGGAATCAGGCAAGGCCTGGCCTTCGTTAGGGTTAACGACGCTGTACTTGCCCACGGTCATGGAATTGCTCTTGATATCTTCGGCTATGCACTTGGTATGAGACGATTGAATGTCGAAGCGGAGCGACTCCGATGCGGATGCCAGAACCCCTAAAATTGTAAGGATCACGAGATACCCAGCCGGAGCATCCATGGCGGAGATATTTCTCCTTCTACTGCTGCCCTAATCTGTGTCTCGGCTGACCCGAAAGAAAAGTTTAAATCTTTGTGGGAATTCTCCGATTCCAGAGCAACAATGGCGAATCGGGGAGGTTCGGAACTGAGGGCGCGTGGGGAAAGGAAATGAAGAAAACTAAAAACTTGTGGCGTTCTTTCTTCCTTTTGCTAATTCTTTTTTTGTTTTTTGTAGGTGGGGCTTAGGGATTGCTTGGACAGGTGGAGCTGTGTAATTGGGACAGACACGTAGGAGACAAAGTACAGCATCTATCCGTCATTACTTTTTTACTGTTACTGTATCTCTTCATTCTCTTGCTTTTGACTTCTGTATACTTGTCTCTCCGAGAAGCATGATTGGATATGGGCTGACCGTTGAGGAATATCGTTGGGCCTGGTATTGGTTTGAAATAGAGCAATGAGGCCCAAAGTCCGAGGTTGTATACCATATAAACGAATTTCATAAGTTTTTGGACTTTGTTACGGTGAGTTACAAGTCATCGTGATGTGGACAAAACGGTTGACCTCTTCACTGATTTGCTCAACCTTCTTTGAACAAAATGGTAAACCTGTTTACTGGAATGATCAACCATATGTACTATTTTCTATTATACAATGTTCAACAAATGGCTGACCTCTTCCACTAAAATGTCTGTCATTTTACAAGAAAATGGTCTACCACTTACATCAAGTAGTCTACCACTTCCACAAAATGGTCCACCGCTTTCAACAATCGGTAAACAACAATTGTTAGTGCATGATTTCATCATTCATAATTAGAGTATGATAATAATAGATATGTTTGCTAGTAAGAGAGTTAAAATTAGTACAAAAGCTAGAGTATAGATGCAAGTTTCTTGAGTGATTATTCTCCCATAGATTTGAAAAATAATCTGCATATTTATTTCTTATATTTGACTTATTCTAAAGTGATTATTCTATACTAACCATGCATTAGAGTGTTAGAACAAATAGGGTGAAGCTTTTGATAAACATTTTCAAGCTTTGAATGCTTCTACCATCGCTTTACATTGCGCTTTAACCATTTTTG